GTGAGACTGAATGCAGAGCATAGTCGAGTTTACTTGGTATTATTCAGTCAATTACTTGTTTGGCTATTGGGCCATTCCAACTTTGTTTGCTGCAAGCTGTGATCATCTGGTTTAGCTTTTTGACCAAAATGTGTTTAGATGGGTTGCCTATAGTGTTGCCTGAAAAGTGATTGCCGAGATATCGCATGGTTGATTTGTGAGAGAGGGGGTGATTGTAACATCAAGAACTTTGAAAGAGACATTCCTGTTGGGACTGTTGTTGCCAAGTGTTGTAATAAGTGTAATCTTGTCTGCATTACATCTGATGTTGTTAAGACTGAGGAATGAGCAAAAGGTGTCAGTGAATTTTTGAAGTTTTGGCATTGAATTTGCCATTAGGAGCACGTCGTCCATGTATGTGAGAATATTATATGGTGTTTGTGGGTATTTATGATAGCTTAGTATGGTGGCTACTAGTGGGTCATAAAAGATTGTCCATAGTAAAGGAGAGAGGGTTTCGCCTTGATCTAGTCCTTTTGACATCTTGAAACTGTTTGTTTTTCCAAAATTAGTTGTTATTGAGAGTTCCCAGTCATATAGGAGATTGTGAAATATAGATATCAGTTTGCTAGGGATCTTAATTCTTTGTAGTGCTGCTTTGAGACTATCAAGATTGACTGAATCGAATGCCTTTGCAATGTCGAATGAAGCGATAAAATTTCGCAGATCAATTATGTCTCTTTTGAACAGGTTATGGCCCCAGATACTATTCTTAATTCGGTTCAAGTTCTTGTTTTCCTTCTCATTGGACAAGTACTGCTCCTAATCCAGTACCAGATCCAGAGTTCTCTGTTGAAGTTAATGGCTGTGTTAAGGCTTGCGGTTGTAATTGCCAGTGGCTCCATAGTGCTTTGTTCTGCTAGGCCGGCGAAGTTGGCTTTGGAAAGGACATTGTTCTCGGCGAGTGCAGTTGATAGCCTTGTATTGATAATTTTTGTGAATACTTTTCTAACTGACTTAATTAGGGATATTGGTCTTGTGTCTGCGATCTTTCTTGACCAGACGATTTTTTTCGAAAGGAGGACAATTATTGATTTTTTCCAGTTTTGTGGGATCTGCTCGCTATTAAGGATAGAATTAAATAGCTTTAGAAGTGTTTTCTTGGAGTTGTCACCTAGGCAGTTAATCATTTTATATGTGATTCCTGTATTGCCAGGCATCTTGTTATTTGGAGCTTTATTAAGTGTTCTTACGAGTTCTTTATAGTTGATGTGTTCTAGGGATGTTTTGTAGATTTTGGTTGGTATTGTTTTAATAGGGGAATAAATTTCCTTTCACAGCATATCTGCTAATGTGAAGCTACTGTCCGCCAGTATACTTTTGAAGATTGAGTCAGGGTCGTCTGTTAGGTTCTCCTTGTCGTCCTGTATTATGTTAAGGTTTAGGGAGAGTTTAAGATCTCCCAGTACTCTTTTGATAAAGCTTTTGGGTCTTTCCCAAAACTTGACTAGATTGCTCGTGATGGCATTGTGGATTTGCTCTGCTTGTTGCTCCTTAATGCTGTATAATCTTTCTTTAATTAGTATTTTCCTTAGATGGTTTAGTGACTTCTGAGAGACTGTAACATTTCCATATATTTTCTGGTAAATAGATGTTATATGCTTTGGAAGGGTAATTCCTGTTTGACTTGGTGAGTTATGCTTTTTTTCTTGATTTAAAATTCTTTTGATATGTTTGATCATCTTGAAATATTTAGTGCATCCTAGTTCTTTGGCTTTGTGCAGTTGCGGTTTTACTAGGAGGAGGTTGATTTGGCGGCATTGGTTAGGATGTGACTAAAGTTAGTCCAAGAAGAGCAGACCGTCATAGACAGCTTGAGATCTACTTCTTCTTTATAGTTGGCTTTTTGTAGGTCAGTTGCTTTTTTCCAGTCGAATATCTTTGTTTGGCACCCGGGAGCTGCCAGCCTATATTCGAACCAATCGAAGATTACTTGCACTTGCTTATGGTCTGTGTCAATTGATGATGAGTCAAAGGTTTTTGCGTCCAGGACCTTAGTTCCCAAATGATTGGTGCACCAGATTTGGTCTATTCTCGATGCGCTTGTTTGGGTTATATGTGTGTACTCATTCTTTTTGTTTATTGCTTTAACGATGTCTGTCCAATTGTGCAAGTAGTTATAGATTCTCTTTTTTGGGTTTGTTGTTGGGGCATTAATGGCTGGTGTGCCTGACAGGTATGTGTTAAAGTCTCCTGCCATTATTTGGTGTATCAGCTTCTTAAATTTTTTTATGAATCGGATTAGTGACTGAGTTGCTGTCTTTCTTTCGTCATGTTCGTGTGGAAGATATATGGAAGTGACTATAATATCAGTTTTTGATTTAAACTTGAGGTAAACTGCACATTAGTATTCGTTCTCAGTGAATGTTTTGAAAATGTGGCTGCTTAAATCCTTTCCTATAATTAGGCAAGAGCTATTTTTTGATGAGCTGGATGGTGTGCTAGAGATAATTGTCTTGTTATTAAGCTTTCTGGGGAGGGGATTTCCATCTAAGATTTTTGTTTCTGAGCAACACAGGATGGTTCTATCATTCTTGAGGTCTTGAGATAATACTGTTAACTTGCTTCTGTTGTTTAATTCCCGAATATTTAAAGTTGAGATGTTGAGTAATGTGGGAGTGGTACAGCGAGTCAGTCGCTAACTGATAATGAAATTCGTGAAACAGTGGTATTAAATTTATTTAACGATAGGGCTTTTGGTGAGGCGTTAGATTTGACCAAGGTAAATGTTTTCTTTATTAAAATGTGAGTTTGAACCTTATTACATTTACTAAATTTTATCCACTAATTTATATCTTTTTCCCAAGAACAAAATAGAAAGAAATCGAAAAGACAAGAAAAGGTAAGAAATTCTAACACTTTCTTTCGATAATTACATAAGTCAGCCACTAATTACATTATCATTACTCATATTTTTAGGTCACTACTAAGCTTTATTTCTTTGACACGATACTGGGTTGATCATTAATCATGTGACCCAAACCGCGTTACCCTCTATTTTCTTTCCCTCTTACAATAATAAAAAATCGACGATTTTATAAATTGCCAAATTCTGTTAATATACTCTCAGGTACTTGTCGATGTGAATGGTATTTTTTTGCAACAAAAATTGCTGCCTTTCCAGAAAGACCTAACTCATATGCACTCATGTAATAATTGGCATGGCGAGCAAAATGGCAGATTTTGACAAGGCTAACAGATTCAAGTGCATGTGGAACTGTTTTCCTGAGTCCTTTAAAGGTATAGTCACAGTTTTAACGACAATATCGTTTTGCCTCACTCTAGAATAGTTCGATAAAATTCAGCTCATAGTGAAACTTTGGATAGAAGATGCATATATGGTCATATGCTTCAATAGTCTCTTGTAAATGAATCTTTTGAACCATAAAGTCTGATTGTAATGCGAGGATACGTGTTGTACAACATTTCAATTTCTTAGGATCTAGGATTCGTTGTGCATATGAGTTACATTATCTAAGTAAGCCATCAATCCACAAGTCATACTCCTGGAGAACTTGCCTAATACCTTTAGGCTTTATTAAACCATTAGTATTTACAAAGGTTATAATATAAGATGAACCATCCGGCATTTTGCCATTGTGCAGAAGTGGCTATTTACCATCATCCTTTATATTCATATGAGAAACATTCAAGGCGTTATTAGCATATGCATTATGATTATTATTATTGTTAAACATGAAAAGTACAACCTTATTAGGATGGATTTACTCAAAAATCAGAATTGCTCTTTTCACAACCTAATTCACGACATCTTGGTTTTTTCACCAGCCATCACGATTTATACCTGGGTGGATAGTAACACAAGCCTCAGTATAAGCAAGCTGTTGATTATTAGTTAGCAAATTATTTGCTATACATTCCTCTTGTGAGAGTTGGAGTCGTCTAACAGATTCGCAAATAAAGTTACTAATATGAATACTAAGTCCTTGTGACTTGTGACGAAGCTGGCTTTCATTGATAGGTCCCCATGTTTTAACAACACTATCATTCATATAAAAAGTGAACTCATCATAAGTAACGGGAATAATTTTTAGAATGCCTGATGGAAGTATCGGTTGAATAACTTGATCCATATTATCACTCTCGTAAACTGCTATTCGATATTGTAATGCTGTGATTTGTTGGAGAAACTCTATTTGGTAAGTAACCACATCTTCTTGTTTATGGCTATCAAAATAAACATCATTAAAATAATCTTTATATTCCCAACAAAGTTTGTGTAACCATGCATGGGCATTAGTTTCTGAGATGGTTTTTATTTTTTTAATACCAAGAATAGGAATCACATTTTCTTCTATAAACTTGATAAATTCACATATGATAAGTGTGAACTTGTTTGCCTGAAGATACTAAATCATATTAAGCTTGAAATCTTCATTGAGCAGAAGTGACTGGATTTTGATATGGCGGCCATGCTGTAAGATCACAAGCTCATCCTTAGAAAGCCACTGATTTGTTCATAAATAGATGAGGCATGTATAATATGTACCTTTACCAAGGCTGCGTGCAAGAAGATCACTGGCAGAAAGCTTAAAAAATCCTTGGTCTTCGATAAGGTAAAAAAAATGACGTACTGTATAAAGCCTCATATCTATATTCTTTGAATTTTTAAGTAATACGTTCAACATTTTTGATGTAAATTTAATATTATTATCATTAATTTCATTTATTTCATCTATATCATTAAATGGGAAAACTCGATTATTATCAGTTTGGTTTTCTATTTTAATTCAGTTCGTAAGATTACCAGTATCTATTTTAATCCAGTTCATAATATTATTAGATCCCTTTGCTGCTTTTTGCCAGGCAGCATACTTATTGCGCTAAGTTAATTTGGCCATACCTGTATAAACAGATTGTTGACTAGTTTTTTTAGATGTTCATACATTTGATTTCTTAATATTATTAATAAGAGTTTTTAAGATATTTGGTTTTATGCATTATAGTTCCACTATGAAATTATCGTCACTATCATTATCATCCTCTTCTAGAGTAAAATCAAAATACAGTTTTACAGGCTGATCAGGTTCAGCATCTGAAGTCTCGTCTTAAATTATGTGATAATAATAAGTTAGCAGTACATAGGAAGATATATTTACTATCAATTAAACCTACAAGGCTCTTCAATTTTTTTCCAGCATTTCCTAGAAGCCTCAATTAAGTGTTTTTTTAATTTATTTTTTCTTGGCATTTTTTTCGCAATAAAAAGAGAATTGATATTTATTTATTTGATACTGTAAGAAGAAGAATAAAATTAATGAGTAATGCGATTCAGGTCACATGACTGATGATCGACCCGGGAATCGTGAAGGGAAATAAAACTGAAACCGTGTTAAAAAGAAAAGTAACAATAATATAATAAGTGTTTGATTATGTAATTAGTATTAGAAACAAGTAGAATTTCCTTACCTTTCGTCATATTTCTACAATGTTCTAATAATTTTTATCAAAAAATATATAAAAAGATAGTATTTAATAAAGGAAAAAAAGAGAAATGACCCAAAAGTTTAAATAAAATATCCTTACCTTGGCCAAATCATATGCCTTACCTCTACTAATAAAGTGAAAGAGAGTGGACTGGCAGTTACGTGAATTTAACCAATTGTTAGTGACTGACTCGCCGATTCGCTCCTTACAATACTGATATTTAATGCGTTATTTAATTGTTCGCGTAATATAAATAATCCTTTTTTTACACGAGAAACCTAAAACCAGATTGTAGGATGGCCTCATATATGCACTGGCTGATCGCAAATATGTATGCGGTAATCAATCAAATATGTGTACCTCCAGTATGCTCGAAAAGATCAAAAAATCGAAAATATGTTCAAAAAATACTTTATAATTTTTTTTTCTTACAATTTTAAATTATGTGATGTGTTTTTATTGGCTAATATTATGTTACACTGCAGGACTAAATTTCAGCGATAACTTAGCATTTGTTGTGTTTAGACTGTGTGCATCATAGTTGATAAAAAAAATTTCAGAAATCTAAAAAGCGGCTTATTTGTTAATCTTTTTGTTAATCTTTTTTTTTTTTATAAATATCCAGCAAAAATTCCAATTTTCTTAGAAAAGTCAGATAATAACCTTTTAAATGATCTTAAGAAATTATAAATATTTTAATAAGAGAAACATCTTTTATTAATGGCTAAAAAGACATTGTCAACATTAATTTCTTAATAATCAAGAATTTTGACCTCTGGCTGAAAAATATTAATAAATAAACTAAAACATATACACAATCTCTAAATTTAACTCTTTAATTTGCTCTCTTTGTATTTGAAGTCACATGACATCCACTGATCCCAAAGTTCTAAAGTGACGTGAAACCTGAAACTTATTGTAATTACAAAATTATCATCAAAATCTATAAAAAAACTAATTTATTCATTATTACCTAATGCTTTATTAATTAAATCTTCTATACTAAAATTATTATTACTATTATTATTATTATTCAAATCTTCAAAAAAATCATTAATTTCTGAATCTGCATAAATTTCATTATCAAAAAACATTTGATTGAAAAGATCTATACAAACTTCTATTGCTAAAACCCTTCTTAATTTCTCTTTATTTACCAAATTTTCAACTAATTGAGGTTCAATATCATTTTTATTATCTAATAAAATTGCTTCAAAAAAATCATCATTATTAATTTCTTGTAAATCCATCAAATTTTGAGTTGTGTAGATTACTTGATCTTGAATTTTATCACTTAATAATAAAATTTCATAATACTGAAGTTGATTTTTAGTATTTGATATATAATAAGAATAAATTTTTGCCATCATAAAAATTCTACTAGGACTTAGCTTTGTTTTTCTTTGCTCATAGAACCATTTCAATACAAAAAAGATTCTTTTACAATTGGCTGAATGTGGTATAATATTAAGTAACTTGAGAGCAATTCTTTGTAAATATATAGGTTCTTCAAGACAAGTTATCTATCAAATTTTAGGAGTATCTCTTGTAATGTTATAAGGTAAATCATATGGAGATTTTTTGAGCCAATATTTTCACATTTGAGAAATTAATACCAAAATTGTTTGTTTATTGCCTTTCATTTTTTTGAGTAGATCACTAGCATAAAAGCAATTTTTTTTAAAATAACTGTCATATAATTCATGACCTTAAATATAAAATTAAATTAATAAATTAAATATAATAGTAAATATAAGATTCAATAACTTATCACAATATAAAGGATATAAAAAATAAGCCAACACAAATACTGGATGTTCAAATTCGTTCTATTTTTTGTTAAATTGATCAATATAATAATTCCAAAAATTCTTTGAAATTGGAATAGAAATATTGATAATATGAGCCAGTTGACATAATTATACAAAACAGTTGACTAAAGTTGTTATTTTGGATTCTAAAACTGAAATCACACTCATGATTGGTTTAAGAATTGTAATCATTTGACATACGTTTTCAAAAAACTCTCTTGTTGTAATAATTTCTACACAATTATTGCTTAATATTCCAGGTTTATTATCCAAGATCTATCATATACCACTGCATACAATATCTGGGTATTTTACTAGGAGGGGGTAGTATTAGTGGCAGAGTATATTATTACTATAAAATTCAAAATACGTAGTACTAGTTTTACTTATTATTATATTAATATACCTGGGTAGTAATCAATTATCAAGCAACAATTTTCTTGAATACTACCTGATATTATTAGTGGGAGTAGTATTTAGGGGGAGTATTGTATGCAGTGGTATATGGTAATAATTAAAATTCGAAATTAATAATTAAATTTATTATTAAATTAATAAAAATTCAAATACTTACATCTTCAAATGTTAATTGAAGTCTAATAATTGATTTACAACAATCATATATCATTAACTATCTTGTTTTGGTTAATGTTTTAATGCCTCCACTCTTGATTTTCAATTTATTAATAGATTTCTGAAGTGCACTTATCTCTTAATGTGATCTCAAAAAAAATAATACCAATGTTTGACACTTATTAATTGTATTAATGACAAACTGATGCTTGCATATATCCTTGGAAATTAAATTGATATGATGTGTAATACACTACATAGTAATAATTCACGGATATTTTTTACCAATAATATTTTGCACAACTTTACAATTAGCTGCTCCACCTATAACCAATTCTGCAATTTTATTTTGTCCAATAGTATTGATGAATTTTTCAAAATAATTGGCCAAAATCTCTTCAGTAATACTTTCTGATGATACATTTTCAATAGCCCAAAGATATTCATATCTATTAGGTGTTATCAAAATAAAATTATATAATTGGCAATTACTGGGATCTGTCTATCCATCCAAAGCAATTGTGATATTTTCCTCTGTTTGTAATTCCTTTTGAATTTTGATTGTGATTGCTACTGCCTCTGAGTAAAGAATATTTGTAGAAATTGTTATGCAACATGATAAATTATAAGCTGGGTGAAGCTGTTTACAAAATTTAATAAAAAATGAATAGTCTATAACTGCAAAAGGAATTGCACAGGTAACAAAAAATCTTTCTAATACTGCATTGATTGTATCACTTCTAGCATCAGTTAACTTGATACTTTCTATAAAATAACTTAATGGTGATTATTTTGAATCTAATTTGATTTTTTTGATGGGTTTTTTTTTGTTCTCAATTGTTCTATTAGCAATTGTTTCCAAAAATTCATTTTGGATTTCAATTAGACAAAATATATACTTACTTGCTAAATAGTCTTTAAGAATATTTGTTTACCTGCTGATATTTTTTGTCACAATAATAACATGCTGCTGAAAAGTATCCATGACTTTTATCAATAGCTATTTTATAAAAATATTGCCAAGCTGATGATTCTGGTCACTCAACTGTATTTTTGGATAATGAGGAAACTGTTTAATTATTATAACTTTGCATTTTTAATAGATTAATGGATAGAAAAATAATAAATTTGTTATTTTTATTTTTTTATTTTTTTAAATTTAATTGGTTAATAATTGCAATACAATTTCAACATTGCAGAACAATTGTAACAAATCTAATAATTGCAGCAAATCACATTATTGCGTTATATTAATTTAATTGCAGTACAATTGCAGCAAATTTAATAATTGCAACAAATCATATGATTGTGTTATATTTATTTAATTGTGGTATAATTGTGACAAATTTGATGATTGCAACAAATCACATGATTGCATCATATTAATTTAATTGCAGCACAATTGCAGCAAATTTGATAATTGTGACAAATCATATGATTGCATCATATTGATTTAATTGTAGCAAATTTATATAATTGTGTCACAATTGTAGCTTGTGGCATATTAATTGCAGCACTATAAAAATTTCAAATAATTAAGTCAATTGTAAAATAATTTTAGTCACATATATAGTCTATATATTTTCCTTAACAACACTGGTTTCCTAACTAGCAGAGTGAGCAGAAGCTATCACTTGTTTTATTTTTTCTTTTCAAAACACTTTTTTGTTTATTTTAGTAACTAAATACAAGAAACCTACCTAAAAGGTCTATAGCAAGAACACCTTTCTAGGAAGAAAACTGATAAGAAAAAACATACTCCAAAGATTTCCAAAAGATTCAAGAATCCAGAGAAACAAAAATAAAAAAGTCTTCAGTCTTTCCATCATCTCTTTGATTTTCCACTTCTTTTTCTTAAGTATGTTTTCTTTTTTCCTGGTTTTTCTGAAAAATTTTGCCTACCTCAGTTTGATCCTGAATTTTTGGTCACACCAGATTTCCTGAAAGATAATTGGTCAAGATCATGGATTGATTGATTACATCAATCACAAAAAAAGTAAACAAGACATGTACTCCTCACATGTTTCCAGTTGCATAACATCAAACTGATGATGTAATTGGTTTCTGAAAGAGTTGGACAGTTTTTTGGTTGAAGAAGTAGTATGGAAGTATTAGGTAAAGTAGAAGTTGTGAGTAGAAGAGAAGCAATTTTTTTTTGTTCATATTCTTTTATTTTCTTTTTTCTTACTTATTTTTTCTTAAGGACAGGAAGTAGCAACAAGATCGAGGTTCTATTTCAATCTGGTAACAAGTTGAAATACTGATATTTATCTCGAAAATAGTTAAAAAAAAGGGATCTTGAAACTATCCACCGGTTGAGTAAAGCAATAATTCCAGAAGACATGACTTGGGAGAGCAATAAACAATAAAAAACCAATAT